ACTTATTCTAATTGACTTAATATTTGTAAAATCAGAAGAGCTTAGAGGAATTTACAAATGTGTAGATTGCACGGTATGCTCCCTCTTTCAGATGAATGATAAACTTTAAAAATAAAATTAGTGCTAACCTGGGTCCCCAGGGATTCCCCATTATTTATATTTTTCCCTCAGAGAGAATTAATTTAGCTCCAGTTTTGTTTCCTAAAATTAAATCTATTTACTTTCTGACCCATAATAAAGTTTTACACAACCCCAGGGTTACTCATTAATAGTCTTTGGTAGAGAATCTATCATAAGACTCTAAAAATCTCAATAAATCTACTGGTTGCCCTTTTTAAAAAATTCTCTTTTGGGGGACAGGGCAAACACTCTGGCAGGTCAACTGGGCAAAATATTCCCTAATAAAAAAAAAAATCCTTTGTTTTCCTGGAAGTGCTCAGGAATCCTGTAATATAGACCTCAATAGTTTGGCTGTCACTGGACTATGATTTCGGTGGTCTCTTTTTCTGGAATCGGGAATGCAGCAACCAGATTTTCACCAGTGCCTTATCTTTCTATGTCATCCCAAATCTGAAGCCAAAACCCAGTTTTATTTTAAATAAAAAATATGGCTTTGTGATTTAATGCTGATTTTAAAGTAACTTTCAAGCATTGCTGACCAAGGCTGTCTAATATGTACACGGATAAGGACAGTGCCATCTCGGCCCTTTGAATATTAATGACACTTCCAGACGCAGGTAGGAGAGGGCGCAGACCGCCAAGGTGCTAATGGAAACAAGATGCAGAATTCCAAGGGAAAACAAATCTTTATTTCAAGAATAAATTCTGAAGTTTGATAACAGAAGTCCCCAAGCTACTTATGAATTCAGCAAGGAATGGAGATATTGATATTGCAAAGCTATTTCAGGGAAGACGGCCTCAGGTGTCCATAATCGAGGGGAGGGCAGGCTCAGGTCTGTTGTCCGAGCTTCTCTCGTCGTTTCTGCCTCCTCCACCCCGTGTCCCTGTGTGCCTCCCTCTCCTCTCTCTGTCTTTGGCTCCTGCTTTTTCTATTTCTGCATGTATATACCTGTGACTCTCCAAAGAGAAAGCCAGTGATGTGCCTCATCCCCTTATTTAGCTTTTCCTTGATAAAATTATTCCCTTTTGTTTTTCTTTTATCTTTGTCTAACATATATCCTTCAGTAGAAAGCTTCCCGGCTCTTTGATTCTCCATCTGTCCATCCACCCACCCACCCATCCATCCATCCATCCATCCATCCATCCATCCATTCATCCAGCAAATCATCACTGAGTACACATTATGTGCCTATTGCTATGCAGTTAATGATAGAGAAAAAAGGACTAGAGTAAATGGGCTGTTAGCCGGCAGTAAAGCTACAGAGAAAAACAGAGCAGGGAAGGGGAGACAAGGTTCTGGGGCTCAGCTCCTGCAAGTCTGGGGAAACCCCGGGTCTTTGATGGTCAGGTGAGGGACCAAGAGGAAGGCTCACACCAGTGCTTTCCATTCTGACTCCTACCAGAATTATGTCAGGGACCTTGCAAAACATACAGGTTCTCAGTCACCCATAGAAGGTCTCATTCTGTAGGTCCTAGAGTGGCTAGAATTAGGTATTTTAACAAGGATTCTAGGTGATTCTGGTGCAACCCTTGGTCGCAAAGGGTTTGAGCACCAGTGACCTAGAGAGCAAAGGGCAATGGGAGGTTAAAGATCAAAGAAGCATCTAGAAACCTAGAGGGTCACTTAGGCTGGGGGAGGAGGCAGTCAGGGGCACTAAGACCGGCACCCTGCCCTCCCTCCCTCCTCCCCAGCACCCATCTTCCACAGGGTGGCAACTACCCCTTGTCATAGCCTCCATCCTGTCCACACTTTGGTGCAGAGTGATGCTCGGTGCTCAGAGTCCCAAACCTTGCTCTTCAGATTCCAAGGGAAGCTGCCTGTGGAATTAGAAAAAAACTCTTTTCTTTCCCAAGAATGTTTAGCTTCCGAGACCACTGTCTCAATAGGGCTTGAGAAAGCCTGATGTGTGTGCAGGTCAAAAGTGAGCACTGACCTCCTGGTTCTGGAAGGCATCCCCTGCCTCCTTCTGAAGCAACACACACCACTGATTCAGTGCAAGAAGGAATACCACAGGGGACATGATTTGTAGAGTACAACACACACAGATATTGCTTGAATGTTTGAAAATATTATCTTTGTCACATAGTTTTTTGTGCTGGTGTTCCTTTCTACCTAAGCAACATTTAACACCTTTGGCTGCTCCTTCCTCCTTGAAATACATTTCCTTTCCACATTCTCCTGGACTTCTACTGCAGGCTGCTCTTCTTGGGTCTTACTTGTAGGTCTCTCCTCTGCCCCTCCCTTGAATATGGTTCTCACCACCACCCTCTTCTCTTCCGGTACTGCACGCACACTGGGCGTGACCTTGCCATGTCTGTGTTTTTGATGACCATCTTTCTTGCCCTTCTCTCTTGAGCTCCTGACCTGCAGTCAACTACTTCCTGACACATCTATTTAGATGCTCCCCCAGCCCATGAACCTCAAACTCACCCAGTCTAAATGCTCCGGAGGTGGGGAGAGAGGTGACTATTGCTGCCACTGGAACGGCATCCTTTCTAATGGAAACCCCAGAACTTAAATTCAACTATATTGAGTGGGAAAATTTTTTAATAGGGTTAAGTTTATAGGTAGTATATGTTAAGTAATGGGGTAGAACTGAAGCAAAACCCAGGGAATCTGGTCTATGAAATTTCTCCCTCCTCCCTTCCCCCCTCCCCTACTCCTTCACATCATATGTGACCTCCCCCTTTCCCCTAGGTACCTTAGTGCAATAAACCACTTGGAGGAACTCTGTTTTCTGCAACGAATCCAAAGCATCTTCTCCTTCTGAACCTAGGAGCACTGAATTTGTTTGGGAAACGACATTCTATCAGTTTTTGGAGTATATCCTATAGAGTGCTAAAGAAATCTAGCCCTTGAAAAAAGACCCAGATTTATTTTTTTTCCAAAGAAACAGCTCAAATCTGTCGAGAAAACTTTCTCCCCTTTCTTGCTTACTTAAAAAAAAAAAATCAGCTACCCTTCATCAATTTCTTTTCAACAAGTGATGAGATTCTGCATCTGCAGTGCTGCCAACAAGCCACTGTTTACTCATGATTAAAGAAACTTGATGCGACATGTTTGAGCTAGTGATGTCAACCCTCGGTTTACCTACTTCTCTTCCCCACCCGTCTTTTCGGCTACCTCAACATTTTAGTGACTGCCTGTAATAAAGGTGACACTCCCCCCACCTTGTCTGGGTGGTCATCCTACTGCTTTTGCAGTTTTAAAAGAAGCAGGCCCTTCCCTGGAACAGATCCTCACCTGAAATCTCAGTATCTAGCACAGCGAAGCGTGGAGCAGGGCCCTTTCCACCAGCTGAAGCAAGACCGCCCCTCCTTGCGTTTCCCTGAGGGGATCTTACCCAGTGCTGGCTTCACACGAGAATCACCTGGGGAGCCGCAAAGCCCCTCAGATCCGGGCTGCCTTCCAAACCACACCGATTTAATCAGAACTTGTCGATGTGGGACTCTGCCCTGGTTTTAAAGCTCCCAGGTGATTCGCATGTGTACCTGCCGCTGAGGAGGGCGGTGTCTCCTGCTCTCAGCGCCCTCCCGGATCAGACTGGGGCCTGGGAGGAGGGAACCCAGCGTGCGTGGGCAGCCCTACTAGGATCTGGGTCCATTCTCATGCTGCCGTGTCCCATTCTGGGTGAAGTAGTGGCAGGCCCACGTGACCGGATGGCGGAGCTACGTTTCTCAAAGGGCTTTACTGGTAAGAAAGGAGAAATGTGTACTTCCTCTGTGTGAAACATGTTTCCATACCTCAGTGGGTTCCAGACTTGGGCAGAAAAGACAGAAGTGCTGCTTCTGATCCCCCTAGGTTTCTACAGAGACCCCGTTTGCTACCCTTTCCTTCCCCCCACCCTCCAGATAGCCCCTGGGACGGTCCTAAGGAGCCTTAGAACAATGTTTGAAAATCACACGTAGGTAAGAGAGGCGAAGCATGTTCTGGAGCTGGATTAAGATGTTGGCTGTGCCACTTAACAAGCTCAGACCCCAGGCTGTCTGGAACAGCTAGACATGGTGGATGGCTCTGGAAGGACGCTTGCTCTGGAGTTGCCCAGGTACTTGGGACTCAGTCAGTCCCTGAGCACTTCACATCAGAAGGGCTCAAGTGCTCGGTCCCCCAAATGCTTGCAGAATTCAGGCCAAACACCAAAGCCGGACCAGCAATTGGTGAAGATCAAGTGTGACGGAACTTGGCCGAGAGGCAGGACCGAGGGCCGGAAGAAAAGGGTGGGTTTCTGGGTGGGGGAAGAAAGAGGGAGCCCAGGGTTTTAAAGAGCTGGCAGCATGTTGTGTTCCTATCCCACTGACGCGGCCTCCAAGGTTAACCTGGGCATGCCTGTGAGCCTGGTGTTCGCTCCTCCCCCGCAGTTCACGGCCCTCTCTTCCCTACTTCAGACTGGATCCACAGCTCACCTTTGTTTCAAAAGCTCTTCTCTGGTTCCTCCCTATGTAAAAGGTGTTTCACCTGGGAGTTTATTAGAAATGCAGAATCTCAGCCCCCCCCCAAGACCTGCTGAATCAGAATCTGCATTTTAACAAGATCCCCAGGTGAGCCATCAGACATGGAAGGAGGAGAGGCACGGCTCCCGTTTTCTCCTGGGTGGCCTCAAAGAGCCCGGGGCAGAGTCTTGGGACCTCGCGGGAGTGCCAGATGCACTTGTACACTCACAATTGTTTCATGGCAGCTGGAGATGGGGGAGCCTGAGGAAGTGGAACCCACTCCAGTACACTCCCCCCGGGCTTTTTTGCATCCTAGGGAGGTTTGAAGGCCCCTGTGGGCAGGGATTTTAAAGTGCCACGTGGACAAGGGGTGCCACGGAAACCCGCTCTCCATCATGATTTGGAGAGAAGGAACCGTAAGGGGTGAGTCTGCATTCCTTGCATCTTACCTCATTCAGCTTTTCAGGACTGAAAGCCGAAGTCAGGACACTTCTGACCTCTTCCCATCTTCTGTCACGTAAAAACAGGACGCTGTCCATTACCGGTTTGGACTCCAAACCTGACACCTGAGAGAAACAAGCAGAGGATTAGGACACGAGGGAGGCAAAGGCACCTTGGTGACAGTACAGGTCTATGACAAACACTCTGGTTAAAGTCCACCAATGACCCCCAAGCTAGGAGAATTCTCTCGCAAGGATGTGGAGGAAGCATGTAAAGGCTCACGGATAATGGTCCAAAGATTCATGGCTGAGGGCCCAGGGGCAGCAGATGGGTAGGCTCTGCTGACCCACTTCTACCCTCTTACAATGCGGTCCTCACCATACAAGTGACTCAGCGGCTTCTATGGGTCCTGCCGCCCCCCCTGCGGAGCGAGAGTTCCCTGAAGACCAAACAGCAGGCTTCTTGGAGTTGGGCTTGTCTTTCCTGGGATTGAGGTTCATGTCTGAACTTGGTGGCAAGGGGTTTTGTGTGGCTGGATTGGTTATGTTGGGCCGGGAGATGACAGACTCGTGTCTCTGGCTCTTTGGGGACACGAGTGTGGAGGGGGAGAGAAGGTGGGGAGTGTGGAGGGACAGGGAAAAGCAAGAGAATCTTTCAGAAGTATGTCTCAACAGAGCTGCTTCGAAGAGAACGCCTTCACTGTGTTTCTGGGTTCTTCTATTCATTCATTTTTCTCATTCAGCAAACATTTGTTGGGTCTCTTATGTGCAAGGAGTTGGCTACACAGTGTCGAATAAAGAAGGCATTGCAGTGGCCCTCAAGGAGCTGACAGTCTCTTGCGGATGCAGACAGGAAGCCCCTACACTAACAAATGTGTGTGTTATGAGAGAGAAATAGAGCCAGGTGAGAGAATGATAGGCCTAACTGGCCAGAAAGGTGGCTCTGAGGGGAGCTATTCAAGCTGAGTCTGAAAGTACGCAAAACATGAGGTCTCCTCACCCTTCTTCCCAGGCCATTCTGTTCCATTTTGAAACCAGTTACTCCTACCGGGTCATCCAAACTGGAGTCCCCCAAGCTGGTCGGAGTGCCCCCAGACCCAGGGCGCCAGGGTACAGGAAGGCAGGGGGATTGGAAGACCAAGCACTCTTTGGCACCTCGTTTGATGGACACTTTCACTATTTCTTTTTTTTTTTTTTAAAGATTTTATTTATTTATTTGAGAGAGAGAATGAGAGACAGAGCCTGAGAGGGAGGAGGGTGAGAAGGAGAAGCAGACTCTCTGCTGAGCAGGGAGCCCGATGCGGGACTCGATCCCGGGACTCCAGGATCATGACCTGAGCCGAAGGCAGTCGCTTAACCAACTGAGCCACCCAGGCACTATTTCTTTTTACTGTTTTTGAGTTGAAATATGAAGTCAGCCATCATAATTCAAAAGCCTGGTAAAAACTCGTGTTTAGAGGAAAATTATAATTTTCTGATAAAATATGAACGTTCAAAATAAGCTATAAAACGTAACTGCAAAGTATCTAGGGGGGATTTAATTATATAGTAGAACGAAGCTGCTGAGATATTTTTCTGCAGAGAAATCCCTCTCCCTTTAGGAGTGCCATGGTCACTATATGGAATCGTACTTTTATGGAATTTTGGGAACATGACCCATTTGTTTGGGTTCCAGAGTCAAAGGAGGAAATGGTACATTATGTAAATTTGCATATTGGCAAACACCCAGTCCTGGACCACGCTACATGTAATAAAGCATTTCAGTGCAAGGAGAGCTGGGTGGTGGTTTATGGGGTTCTGACGGAACAGAATATATTAGAGATAAGAGTCATGGTTGATTGGATCTTGCTTCTGTCCTTCAGACCTAAGGATTGGATCCATGAGATTTTTTTAATCTTGCACCCAGAGGACAAATCTGATCTTCCACGTAATATGTCAGCATTGTCCTCAAATATCTCCCTCATCAGCCTGCCAAGCCAACACTCTCCTCTCAGCCTACGGCTCCCATTAGAATTCTCCATTTCGTGATGGGAAATTTGGGGGCATTGGTTAGAGTCGTGTTTTCGTTTCTAGAGATGACACTGTGAGAGGGAGAGCAGCTGATCGGTCCCTTCAGAAGAGCGGTGGGGTGGTGAGGGGACAGTTTGACAGATTTTGGAATGTGTAGCTGGAAAGAGAAGACTTGTTAGATCAGAGAGTGATACTTAGGATGCACTGAAAAAATACTTATTGAATGCATATTATGCGGAAGAGGAAATTTAGGTTGTTTCAGTGACCCTGAGGGGTAGAAGTGGGTTCCGTTGTGGAAGCTATGGGGAAAATTCCAGCTCATCTAAAGGAAAACCTCTGAGCAGTCAAAAGCCAGAACTGTTTCAAGATAAAATAACCTGCTTTGAGTGATGAGCCCCTGTCACTGGTGACTGTAATCCATTTTGGGGAAATTCTACACAAGAGGCTTGAGCGTCCAGGGGGGATTGGTCTAAATGACCCTTAAGGACTCTTCCAGCCCTGAGGCTTCATCTCCAGGAGAACACTCCAGGCTTGTTTGTCTTCACATATATATACTTTTCAATTGTGGCAAAATACACGCCATGTAAAACTTAACCATCATAACCATCTCTAAGCGTACAGTTCTGTAGCATTAAGTATAGTCATACTGTGCAACCATCTCCACCATCTGTCCACAGAAAGCTTTTCATCTTGCACAACTGAAATTCTGTGCCTACCGAACACTAACTCCCTTGTCCCCTCCCCCAGCCCTGTTACCGCATAATAATTGGCTCCATTTACTGAGTGATGCCTCCAGAGCTCAGCCCTCCAGAGGGCTCTCCCCTGAGGTCTGAGACTGGGAGTATTGAGACCGGAAGGGACCACGAGCCTCAGGAAGGAAGATCCAGAGAAACAGGGCTTTCTAGACTCCTGTCCGCCCAGCCCTGTCTCCTGAGTCTCAGCGCAGGTCCCTCCAATCACTCCGCAGCCGGGGGGTTTCCAGACTACAGGCCATAACCAGCCATGAAATCAAGGTAGCAGATGGCAAAGAGCATTTTAGAAAAGAAAAGCTAAGGGAAACAAGGAATAGAACAGAGTAGAAGATACTCTGAGGAGCATTTCAAAGTAAGAATATTGTTTTCAAGATAAGGGTGTGTGTGTGTGTGTAAGAGAGAGCATGTGAGAGTGTATGTGAGTGTGTGGGAGAGTGTGTGGGTGTGTATTCTGTGTGATAATGTGAAATGTGTTTTTACACAGTCAAAAAATTTCCGAAAGCCTACTCTAACCTAAACCCCAAAACTGGGAGTTTTCCCCCCTCCCTCGACTAAAATCCTGCCAGTTGCGGAGTTACCAAGCTGTGAACATTTATTGAGCACTACTATGTGCCAGGTTCTATGTCAGCACCGAAACTATCAAGACAAAGAATGGAATCCTTGCCCTCAAAGGAGCTCACAGTTGACTTGGAGGGTGGGAATGGGGTGCTTTACAACCAGTATATGTTGATCTTACCGCTAACAAAGTGCTTTTCACATCATTTCCTTAATCTTGGGGTGATTCTCCAGGAATTATGAAAACACTGCTTTGGCAAGCTGCAATGGTTCACTAGTGGCCTTGTGGCCAAGTTCCCCTGGGACAGCCGAATGTGCTTGTCTTTTCCATTAAGATCTCTTAAAATGGAGTCTAGCTTCTTATTAGGCCCACTAAGCATAAGCTTTAAACTTTGAAGAATCACATCATCCAGAGGAACAAGTTATTAAAGCAAACCAACACCTCGGCATTCTGTGTTCCCATGAAGAGAGCACCATGCATTGGGGGCTGAGTGTGGGCCAGAGCCGTGGCCTGAGAGAGCCACATGAGAACCACCAACCGTTTCCGGAAAATGCTGTGAAATGCAAAATGCATGCAGTGCATGTTTTTGCTCTCACTGAGCAGGCGTGTCATGATGAAAAATGTGTAAGAGGCCTAATAGAATATGAAGCTAGAGCCCTCCCCCCTCCCCCCAAAAAAGGTTTCTTGTGTCCTGGCACCTGCAAGAACATTGACTTAAGATGTGTATGATCTCTGTGACGCCTTGGCAGGGCAGTCAGCAATTCTCCAATAGCCACACAGGGCTGCAGGCAAACAGAGGGAGGTGCTTCTGAAGACTCCAAAATACGGTTATAGATCACTGGTCACGAGGCCAGTGTTGCCAACCTGTTCAGTGTAAAGTATGTCAGGTACGGCGCAAAAATATGAATATCAAAGTGTGCCATGATCACAAGATGCTGGGCCCATGGTTGCAAACCTCGGCTTCTCGCACAACCTTGCCCAGATGAGGAAGCTCTGTGGCACCACCTCTCTCTCTCCTCGTCTGCGTCCGTGAAACCTCTTGCTTGGCCCCTTATTTATTATATGGCTCAACAAAAGCTCTAGAGTTCTCTCACCTGGATAAGCCCAAATTCTATACCTGAAAACATGTTATTTTCACCATATGACGATTGCTATCCGTCTGTACAAAGATTTCAAGCAAACAGGGCTTAGATTTGGTGCTTTGATGTAGAAAAAGTGTTCTGTCCCCACTGGGGAGTTTTCATCCATTCACTCTTGGCCAGTAGAAAATGATCCTGGGCGCCTGGGTGGCTCAGTTGGTTAAGCGACTGCCTTCAGCTCCGGTCATGATCCTGGAGTCCCGGGATCAAGTCCCACGTTGGGCTCCTTGCTCAGCAGGAAGTCTGCTTCTCTCTCTCTGACCCTCTTCCCTCTCGTGCTCTCTATCTCTCATTCTTTCTCTCTCAAATAAATAAATAAAATCTTAAAAAAAAAAAAGAAAGAAAATGATCCTAAGGGACACACTTTGGTCCCTCGCTCTGCCTTAGACTGGGACTGGCCTAGGGGGCTGGCTTAGGGGGCGCAACTCAGATCAGGCTCCATCTACCAACTCGGCATCAGCTGCTGGAAGGAAGGGGACCTCTTCTAATTTGGACAAAGTCCTGATATGGGCACTGGTGGCCCTGCCTGATATAGGGTTCCTAGAATTTTATCCACCAAAGAGGAGGAAACCATAGGCTCGGAACTGTTTCTGTGAGCCCTGTACCCCACAGCATGGGCTCTTCCTGACTGGGGAAGGGGTCCAGGGGGCTTGTGAAGTCTTTTGAGGA